GTGCTCTCTCTCTCTCATTCTCTCTCTCTCAAATAAATAAATAAAATCTTTAAAAAAAAAAAAAAGAAAAAGAAAAGAAACCTCATCTTCTTTGAGTAGCCTATTTCCTTCTCTACCATTCTGAAGGGTTTCGTTGAAAAGTAGAGATAATGTATATAAAGTGCCTGGCACTTATTATAGATGTTCAAGAAATACTATACATTATTATTCAACTGGGTGGGTTCTTTCTCCAGAAAGTGAATGCATAGCTGCATATGGAATTTGATGTCTAAAAATCGTATTCTCTACTCACCAGATCTTACCTAGCTTCTCTCTTCATAGTTTATTCTTTTTTCCCTTCATTATTCAAGGAAAAAAAAATTTAAAGAAGCAACTGAAGTATAGAGGCCGTCTGGATCTGTCTTTTGCCAAGTGAACCATCTTCTTTCCCAATTCATGATGTATAGGGCGAGGCTTAGAAGCATTTTTGAATCCTGCATAAAAATCTTTATTCTTACACAGTACTTAGAAAGAGTGCTTACATACACTATATCTATAAATTCTTATAACAACCCCACGAAAAAATATTTTCTGTCTCATTTTAAGGTGGAAACTGAGACTCAAGGGAAGGTAAGATTTGGTTAAGTTCACACAGATAGAAAGCAGGAGCACTTGATTTCAAAATAAAATCTTCTGATTCCTTTTTTTCATGTTATCCAGGAAAGGAAACTCTTCAAACCACTGTCAGCCTTTGATACCAACATTTCTTAATTTGGCCATTAGAGAACAGGGCTCTTATGGAGTAGAGACTGGCTGGAGGGACGGGCTGGACCTGGCAGTGATCTGGAATTTGGAGTCCCGAGAACCAGGGGACGGGGCTGCGGGTGTCTCCTAAGGTAGCAAGGTGTAGTAGGAGAGAACTGGGTGTCTTGAAATGTGGGGTGCCAAAGAGAGGAAATTGTACCTGAAAGAGATTTGGAGAGACACTAAAAATAAACTTCCCCTAAATTATAATTTCACTTTGGGCCAGCTCCACCTCTCTTCTTTACTAATTTCATAAATTTTTTCTGACTTTTTCCATGGCCTTTTCTCAGGAACCCTGTCATCCACAAGAATGAAGTCCAGTTCATTCGTATACTGAGAAGGGCCAGGAACATGGCAGAATGGAAGTCCACCATCCCAGTTGAGGCCACATGAAAGGAGAGGGTCTGCTGAAGGGACTAAGGAAGAAAACTCTGGTGAATTCAGCAGGCAGAGGTGGAGTACAAGGCCAGGAGCAGAGTTGTGCCGATTACCAGTTAGCTGAAATGGGTAAAAGTCAGATTCAAGAATATAAACACTGGCATTTGAAGAGCCAAGGACCAGGCAGCCAGATATGGGGTGAGAATCAGGGGGTATCTGACAGCAGCTTTTAATAGTGAAGATGACCAAAAGCAGAAGTATCAGAGGATAATGAAAGAGGACAACTGTAGGGGCATCTGGGTGACTCTGCCTTTGGCTCGAGTCATGATCCTAGGGTCCTGGGATCGAGCCCTCTGTCGGGCTCCCTGTTTAGTGGGGAGTCTGCTTCTGCTTCTGCCTTTGCTCCTCCCCTCTGCTCTGGCGGTCTCTCTCTCTCTCTCTCAAA